TTTTTTTTTTTTTTTTTTTTTTTTTGGCAAAATGTGGCTCCATCTATTGGTGGGGAGCGACACCTGCTGGAAAACGGGTCCAGCGTCCGCCTGCAATATTCTAGATTCTGTCTGTGGATCGAGGATACCCAGACCACCATTCCGTCGCGGCTGCATTATTTTCTGCCGGCTTACTCTAAGACCGGAGTCCGCTGCACCCGGCGTGGGCTGGAAAGAACCTTCTTCCACAACCAGCCAGGAGGCCCAAGCCAGCAGGTTTTTTTTTTTTTTTTTTTGGACCATTTCTCGATTTCTGCATGTCATCCTTGCGCAGGGCCCATGCTAATCTTCTCTTTATCGTTCCAATTTCAACGGATGTCCTTCTGTCCCCAATTTTTTGTGTTGGAAACGTCGCATCTCACTGGCAGTTCAAACTTCAAAATTCTTTCCAACAACCGCCGCGAGCGACTCGACTGACATTCTCCCAAAGGATGCAATAACAACCTGCCGAATGTTTAGCTGAGCATTATTCACATCAATAAACACACGGGTGCCATCTGCAAAGGAGTTTTGACTTTATAGCATCTCTGGACCTCAACACTGCTGCACGGAGGGCATGCCGTTCTTTGATCATCTCGTGTAGGTGCTCAACGCAACAGTAATCCCACCATCGTCTGAACTTACCGTCGAAATCTTTACCAGACAAACCTATGTCTAAAGAATTTCATCTAACTCTATCATACATACGCCTTCTTAAAACACCAGTCCTTCCTAAAGTCGTGCCCGTTAACAAGCCACGATTTTGGGAAACGTAGCACCCAAATATATCCGACTTGAAATGTTTCTACTCTATTTTTTCCCACAGACGATAGCTGGGCCAAGTACTGGTGGTTTACAGTCTCGCAGCAGAAGAGCTAGATCCTGTCCATTACCCATCTTTGGATCTGTCTTGCCGCCACCATGCTATCCAGAATTCTTCTATTAGGGACAAATGAATCCTGTTTGTGAGTGATCGATGAGTGACCACAGGACTTAAGCCAGCCTATCTGCCAGCACCCTCGTCAATATCTTTTTTTTTTTTTTTTTTTTCTGGGACAAGTTGCTCCAATCTATTCGTGGGGAGCCGTGCGTGAAGATCTTGCACATAACGGTGAGAAATCTCAGAATTGAAAAGCAATGAGAAAGTTATGATGGTGTATCCTAGGGGGGCCACATAAATGAGAAAGGGTTGGCAGCTCTGAAGGTATAGTCTCGCACAGCGAGAGGCAAAAGAGATCTGCAACTTTTCCACTGACACTTTCTGGCATCCACGTGAGATTCTCATACACAAAAATAGTTGTTGTTGGGTTGTGGATGGTTGTTGGGCATTGTTGATGGTTGTTGGGGTTCGTGGGTGGTTGTTGGAGGTTGTGGATTCCTGTTGGGGGTCGTTGGTTGTTGTTGTCTTGTTTGTTGTGTGTTGGTCGTTGGTCGTTGGTCGTTGGTCGTTGGTCGTTAGTCGTTGGTCGTTGGTCGTTGGTCGTCGGTTGTCGGTCGTTGATCGTTGGTCGTTGGTCGTTGGTCCTTGGTTGTTGGTTGTTGGTTGTTGGTTGTTGGTTGTTGGTTGTTGGTTGTTGGTTGCCAGGTGTTGGTTGTTGGTTGTTGGTTGTTGGTTGTTGGTTGTTGGTTGCCAGGTGTTGGTTGTTGGCAGTCGGTTGTCGTTGTTGGTGTTGGTGTTGGTGTTGGTGTTGGTGTTGGTGTTGGTGTTGGTGTTGTGGTTGGTTGCCATGGGTTGTTGTGATTGCTGTTATTGTTGTTGTTGTTGTTGTTGTTGTTGTTGTTGTTGTTGTTGTTGTTGTTGTTGTTGTTGTTGTTGTTGTTGTTGTTGTTTGTTGTTGTTGGTAGTTGTTGTTGTTGGTGGTGGTGGTGGTTGTGGTTGTTGTTGGTTGTGGCTGTGGTGATGGTGGTAATGGTGCTGCCAGATATTCGGGTTACATGAAAATGCTGCAATTGCTTCAGTGAGGGACAAGGTTCAGTCATTGTTTATGACATTGGTCTCACTGGAGAGCCCTGATGTGACACTCTCATGGCCATGTTCAAAGACGTCACGCTCTAGATCATTGGAGAGGAGTTGCTCGATTGTAGTTCCTAATTTCATGGTAAGAAGAGGACTTGACGCCAATTGAGTGTTTTTCCCTCTGTCTCGCCCCTCCTTTTCCCTCTTTTTTGGAAGCACTTGCTGCTTTCTATTGATCGGGTGCTGTACCTGCTGGAAACCAGGTCTAGCGTCCCAGGGAAGATATAACAGAGAATAACAGTTAGCTGGAAAGCTGGTTCACGAGTCCTTTTGCTCTTCCTTCTTCTTCCTTCTTTTTTTGCCCCCCGAACGCAACAGGAGAATCAAAGCCCTTTTTTTTGTGTGTGTGACCCAATGGGTCACGGATCAGATATTAAACTGATCAGAACAGATACTACACTTGATCTTAGCCAAAAGGCCTAGAAAGGTATTCAAAGCCCTAAAAAAATCACTTCTTCCATTCCCGGCAATGGCAGGCTGGTTCATTTTCCACTCGCAAACCAGCAGTCTTTTTCCATAAAGCCCACACTCAACGGGTGCCCTAGCCATTCTGGGGGGCGGCCGTCCGGTTGCTTATTACCGGCAAGCATAGAAAAATGGCAAGCACAACCGCACAACAAAGCTACGATAGGGGGTCGACCATGATTACAGGTGGATACCCAGGGCCGGCAGACTCCCATTGGTACCCAGTTGCCTCCGGAACCATCCTTCCCTTGGCCAGAGCTTCCTCCTATGGAGGAAAACCATTTCCTTACACCAAGTTCCTATCTGTCACTTGATTTTGTGTATTTTAATTTCTGAGTATACATTGGAATACCTTACGACCATTGAACAAACTTGGTGGACTAAGTTCCGACAGACACAATTTATTTGAAGATAAAGTAGCTGCAAGGAACATGAGTATGGACGAAGCACAGAAATCCAGAATGCAAAATCACACTGAAGTCCAAGTATTCAAAGCCAAAGCAGATAGCACATGGAACCGAGTACCCATCCCATTGAGAATGATACAGAAGAATCGTGAGTCAATGTCCATGCCCACCAGGGCAACACCAACAGCATAACCCAAATGTAGCTCTCTCTTGTGAATGGCGCCAGGCGCCCTATCTACTYTACAGCCTATCCTACAACTACAGCAATGAACAGCAACCAGACAACTTGACTACCAGCGAGTGATGATGTCAACACCAATGCAGATCTCCACCATCACCAGGTACGTGTCCTCTTCCCCACACTCTCCCTTGTTACCCACACAGCGCCCTTCACCTCCGAAGTACCACCTTCGCCCTCACCTCCCCTGCACCCTCTTGCGGCCCAGGCTATGGCCGCCAGTGCCCTCAGTGCAGGCAGCGCCCTACCGCCTAGCGCTGGCCTGCTTGCTCTTAGCGCAGCACTGCCTTGCACAGCGCAGCACACATGCATCCGTGCAGCGTGCCCGCATGTGCCAGCATTGGCCAAGATCCCTGCCCACTCGCCCTGCTTGTCTATATGCCAGTGTTGCGTGTGGGCGGCCTCCCTTCAGCCTGCGACTGGGCCCCAGTGCCTGAACCCAGGCCCGATACAGTTGGGGCCCGGGAGATGCAGTTGCGCCTCTTTCATCAAGGCCTGCGGCCAGAYTCAGATAGTGGGCCGGTTTCCCATTGGCATTTTCGGCCTCTATATCCAGCATGCATTGTCGGCCTCACGTTTATGTGCCCAGGGCCTAACCAACTCAGAGGCCCTGGGATTTYYGCATTTGCAGAGGTCCGAGACTCGGTGCACTCCAACCAACTGGCGTGCTGCAACTGTATGGACCCCCACTTCGTGAAATGTTTGCACAGAGGGCTCTTGTTGATTTGCTGGCCCGCCTTCACTTAGGGCGGTCACAGATCTGGCCCGCCTCCGCTTAGGGCGGGCACGAGGCTTGCTGGGGGCCTATGCCCAGAACATCTGCATGTCGGCTAGGCCCCTCTGAGGGCTCAATCCTCACATAGCAGCTTCTTGAGCATTTGACAAACTAACGCCATCCATTTCAAAAACAATTTGTCCTCGGGAAACAAGAGCAAGATTGCACAAAATCTTCCCTCGTACAGCGACTTTCCCCCCGAAGTCCTCCTTTGTCCTACCTACCCACCCTCACCCCATCTTTGCTTGCATCATGTATGTCCCAAGTATGTCCTCATGTATCCTTTCCCCCCCCCTCCTGTTTATATCATGTACCATGAGTCATGTCTGTGTCATGTCTGTGTCATGCATGTGTTATCTCATACGTACATGGACCGACTTCGGTCACAACCCCCCTAACTGAGTACAATACATCTCCCGATCCCCTTGCATTGCCTAAGTTCATTGTGTCACAATCCCCTTGCATATCTCTATGCAATCTCTCCCAATCGTTTTGCATTGTCTTATACAGTCCAACCAAGTACACAGTCGCTGACTGCAGCTTTGTTTCTCTCTACCAATCCTCTTGCATTGTCTGATGCAACTCAACCAAGTACACAGTCTCCGACTGCAGCTTTCTCAATCCCCTTTGCATTCTCTCAGTGCATTTGTTTCCAATCCCCTTACACTGTCTCTATGCATTGTCTCTCAATCCCCTCTGGCTGCATAAATGACTTGCATTATGCAATACAAGCACGTACATAGTCTCTGGCTGCAAAAATGACTTGTCGTAGGCAATGCAAGCAAGTACATGTTCTCTGGCTGCAGCAGATTTCTCGGTTCTTCCAGTCCTGACTTCTAGTCTCTGGCTACAGAAGATTTTCTCCATCCCTTCGAGTCCTCACTTGTCCATATGCATCCCATACAGTACATCACCCAATTCCCTTGGATTGTCTAAGTGCATTGTCTCCCAATCCCCTTGGAATTGTCTCTATATAATAATGCAACTAAGTAAATAGTCCCTCACTGCAGCTTCCTCAATCCCTACAGTTTTATCATCTGCAGGGTAGTCACTTATCTTGATACGCATGCAATTGTCACGAAGTGCTGACTATGATAAGTACTGCCTTGCACTTTGTGTAGGAAATTGCCGTACTGGTAGTCAACATACAATACAGTTGAAGTAAACACTGTCTCCTTCTTTTTCTTTATGTTTCAAATTTTCATATATTTTTTTGAATTTTTTCACAAAACAATGCCCCTTCTATTCTGGGGGCCGTCAGTCCGGCTGCTTATTACAGACGGGCATGTTTCCACAGAGAAAGGAGAGAGAAGCCCAAGGAGTAGCTCAGCCTTGCCCTTGTGGCTCTAGCCACCTACGTTAGGGAGGGGCTCCTACGAAGCATCCCGCCCCCCAAACCATGGCCTTTCTTTGACGAGTTCAGGGCACACTGAGATTCAGGGGGGCCGCTTTCACTCAGGGCGGGCACGCGCCTGCTGCAGGGCCTTATGCCGCGGCATAAACCCTTGCACATCCTTCCTAAGGAGAGACCCATCAATTCAAAGGCTAATCACGGAACCGGACCAGCAAGGCAGGCTAACCCACATCCCGATGCCAATGCTCTTCGTGGACGACTTGACAGTGCTGATCAAGGCATCAAACTCGTCATTCAAAGCGCTGATGAGAGCAATGCATGCTTCACAGCTGGCCTCGGAGATGAATATCAATTGGCCAAAGACGGTGGGATGGTGGTGCGCAGACTTGGAGGAAGAAGGGCCAGGTTCGCCGTCGGGTTCTGAAGGGATACAGTGGCTGAGTCTGAAAGCACCACTAAGGTATCTAGGGATCAAGGTGTCCGAAACAGGCTCGCATCATTCGATGGCACCCAAAATACTCTCCAAAATGCTAGCCAAACTGGGATCTTGGTTGACAATCTACACCTTGCTGTATGGTAGAGCATTAATATTGATAGCCCCTATTTTCTCAATGCTATAATACACAAGAACGGTATGGAGTCCGGCATCACACACAGCAACAGCGGTGAGGACAAGAGTGGCAGCCTACCTATGGACAGCCAACCCCTCCAAGTAGCAATTCATCTCAAAGGTTGCATGGAAACACATAACGGTGGGCTTGGGCATCATCGACCCAGAGAAGCAGATTAAAGCGTTACACACCAAGTGGGTGATTAAGCTTATCTCAAGCCACAGACTGCCGTGGGTAAGCTTGGCTCTTGAAAGCATAAGAAAGCTAGACAAATACAGGACCCCACACAATATGTCAGGGCTTCATTGGCTTACGTGCAAGGGCTGGGCAAAGACTGGAAGGGAAGCCAACAGGGGACAACAAAACACTCGGGGAGAGGGAGACAGAAACTACTCGTGTTATCTACTCGACATATTAGGGGGAATTTTCCCAGCCAAGGTTCGAGAGCCGATAACAAGGGAGGAAGTTCTACGACAACCCCTCTTCTGTAACCAATGGATTAAAGGTGAGTGGGGGAGGCCAAGAACCCTGACAGCCAAGACTCTAACTGGGGGACTTGGCTTGAACACAGTGTGGCAGATAAAGCATCTGTGGTCAAAAGGAAAGGGGCGGTGGAAAACAGCAAGGGAGCTGACAAATGTTCTTAAAGACAGCCATAATTTCTTGGAAACCCTCAACGATCTGCTGATATCAATCCCCTTAGAATGGCGGAGGTTATTGGAGAAGGGACCCCAATGGGAGTAAGGAGAGTGAGTAACTTGCCAACACAAAGAAGAACCGAGGGTGGCTTGTCGAGTACAGAGAAGGGAGGGCCCACAAAGGGACTAGACGTCCACCGACATGTATCAAATAGAGGAGCTGGGGGCCACAATAAGGACTCAAAAACTCAGATCTTAATGAGATTGGAGCTGGTCAGGAAGGTGAGAGTCGTAGAGATGGACGACTTCACTATCTATAGACCAACAACAGCAGTGGAGGACCTAGAGATAGATCCGATGGAATGGGCCTGGAACCTGAGAGGAGGGAGGCTGAACGTGGCGCTAAGAACAAACATACCGCACTACTCAGCTAAACTGGGGTATAAGCTCAGAACTAGATCGTAGATCATACCCATTGGAGGACTGGTTACTAAAGTGCTCAGAAGATGAATGAGTGTGGCACCAGCAAGACTCGTCTACCATGGTCAGGACTGAGCTCCATCAGACTGGGGCGGGTTAGGAGTTTACAGTGCCTAATCATTCACATAGCATTACCAGTTAATGAACGGCTAAACAAGTGCATGAGCCAAGAAAATAGACGTCAGAATGAGCTGTGCACAGTTTGCCAGGAAGGTTGGAAGGAATCGGTAAAGCACTGTCCGTTAGAATGACACAATGCAGAGCAAATATGGCGGGTAGCGAAAGAATTATGGGCCAAGTGGACGTCGTATCCTCGAAGATGCGTTTACCCTGCAGCTGGGAACAGGAATGCCAGGTACCTGGCAGGGTTATGAGAGGAAAATAATTCAACTTTTGAGACAGTACGCCTTGTGGACAATCTGGAAGAGAAGATGTCAGCAAACTATAGACAGCAGGCAAATGCACATCCACGAGGCGCATGAAATCTTCAACGACCTAGTGGAAGCAGATATCTGGGCCTATTGGAAAGGACAAGAAAAAGGATGATGGATAACCCAGTGGGAGCGAAGGAAATAAAAAACAGCTTCGAGCATGGGTACTAGGCAAGGGGAAAGTAGTGGTGATTGAGGGAGAGAGGATTAAGCAAGGAGATTAGCAAAGTCAGCATGGGGCTATTTAACTAGCACTCTAAGGGAAGGAAAGCCCTTTCAGCAGGGGTAGACCCCCATAGGAGGTAGGGGGTAGACTCGCTCCTTTTACACAAGAGGGGCAGTAGCTCTAGGTGGGCTACTTTAGGTTTGCAATTCTTTTTGAGCCTCAAGAGGAATTTTGGAACAATTGATAACAGCACGAAGGGACGCTGGCCCCGGTTTCCAGTATAAGCCGAAGTTAGGGAATGGCCCCAGTTTTCTCCGGGTTGTTTGTGAGGATTCCTGGCCTAAGTTCCAACTGGTAATCAAGGATACAATTCTTTCCCCCCCCAAAAAAAACACAAGAATGGGGGGGGGAAGCAACAACGGGCCTAGCTCAGTTGGTATACCCACGCTCTGTTGAAATGCAGGCCCAAGTTCGAATCCAGATGCAACTGCATGAACAGAATAAATAAGCTCTGAATTGCCTGGGGCCGGTCAGTTCATTGCTCATATCTCAAGGCCGTCACCCTTTCTGAAAAAAAAGAAGGAAGGAAGGAAAGAAGGGAGGGGAAAAAAAAAGTGGGGGGGGAGGAGGAATGGGTATTGGATACAAGAATGGGCGAACTGGTCAGTCAATCCTCCTCGTCAGATGCAATCAAGGGTTCCTCTGGATGTGTAACAATGGGAAGTGCTGAGTATTTTTGTGTAACTCTGACTTGCCAGTGGAAAAAGGAGGAGCTGATGCTTCCCAGAATTGAAAGCAGCCAGGACCATAAGGCCCTGTACTTAAGGGGGGAGAAAAAACAGTAAAACATAGCATTGGTCATTACAACACAACCAGTCAATCTTGCCCAAACTCTTAAACTTGGAACCAATTTCAAACTTTGGACAAGTGAATGGGGGGCATGTTGTGTGGGAAAGGATTTGTGGGGAAGGGGATCAAGATTCCAAGTTGGCAATAGGATGGCTAAGGACTTGTTAACGAAATGTTATGAAACTGCACAGGAGGCAACTGTGGCAAAGAGGCTGACAGAGATCCGCGCAAATCTGCTAGACCCGTTCGGAGAGAGGACTGAGTTAACTCAGGCTGCTCATAAAATGGATGACCCGATGGTCACAGTGATGAACCAGGTTAGTAATTGAAACAACCTCTGGTAATGCATAACACTTGTTCCGGACTCTGATTATATTTTGGCCCTGAAAAAGTTGTTTCAATTCTATGGAGGATGGCCTACAATTTTTGATAAGTGAACCTTGTAATAACACTGATAAGTTGTTATAACTTGATAAGCTGATAACTCAGATGTGCTTTTCTCCAGTGTTCATGGCAAGTTTGCCAATTTTCACAACTGTCATGTCAATATTGCTCTCTCTCTCTCTCTCTCTCTCTCTCTCTCTCTCTCTCTCTCTCTCTCTCTCTCTCTCTCTCTCTCTCTCTCTCTCTCTCTC